ATTTAGGGTGAGTTACTGACTGTTCAAGGGAGTACAGAAAAAATGTAAAATATTTATATATTTAAAAATATTTTTAATGAATTTCATCAGGTCCTGATTCTGATTGGAGAAGTGAGTCACTGGAACATCTTCTTGCTAAAAATCATCCCTTGGCCCCAATTTCCACAGTAGTCATTGTCGTTTCCTCCCCTTCTCAGTCAAGCTCCTGAAAGGTGGAGTCTTGCTCTTTCCATATCTCATTTATTATCAATGGCTGAACATATGGAAATCAGTCTTCTACACCATTCACTTCTCTGTAGCTACACTGGTTGCCAACCACCTGCCAATTGTGAAAAACAATTTTAGTTCTTTCATTCCTGAGTCTGTTTACTGCACTTGATACAACTGACCACTCACTCTTTCTTGGAACTCTCCCTGCTTCTCTGTCATGGCAGTTCCTCTGTTCATTGTGGCCTTTCTTTAGGCTCATCCTACAAGCCCTGAAATTGTAGGGACATCTTCTGGGGGTTCTTCTCTTGACCCAGCACTCTTCTCACTTTGCAGGCCCTCCCTAAACAATGTGAATGACTCCTGGGCATCTAAGTCTATATCAATGTTTCTGACCCCTGACTCCGATGGCCCCACACTCATACCTCTTCCTCCTATGGTGGATCTATACTGTACAGTTCTCACAGCAACCAGAAATATAAGTCAAAAACTGAGATGATCATCCTGCCCCTTCCCTCTCCTGCTTCCCTAAGCTAACTGGTGTTTACATCTATTTCACATCAGCTAAAGTCAAGGTCTATCCTCACAGGAGCCATGCAGCAAGGAATCAAATTTCAACTCACTGTTTTCCCTCACTCCATGCCCAATGTCAGCAAGTTCTGTTGATTTTGCCTTCTAAACAACTCTCCAGTTTGCCTCTTTATTTCCTAACTCCTTCCACAGCCTCAATATACACTTGGAAATAGAGCTGCATATAGGGGGTTTCTGGACACAACAGTCCACATCTCTCTTAACTTTCTAGTATCCACAGAAACAGGATCCTAGGTCCACTCTGCAATGAAGACCTGATAATGACCTTTTTATATGCAGCCCTACTTTGCTTTGAGCCTATCAATACTCCGCCTTATTTAATCACCCAAACCCCACCCTTACCCCGAATCCTATAATAACTCTCTTTTCCTTAGTTTGGTGAGATACCCCATGGGGTGTGATCTGTATTTCTGCAATGAGTCAACAAACCTAATTTTTTCAACAATGTACTGAGCACCTACCATGAGCCAGACACTATTCTAGGGACTGCAAATATAACAGTGCATGCTATAGTTCCTTAAAATAATTGGTGTGTTTTTATTTATTCCTCCCTCTAGATTGCCTTCTATCAGTACATATGTACAGAGAAATGCCTGAAATAATGTTCACCAGACACTTATAAGTATAAAAAGTAAGGTGATTTATGGCTTTCTTCTTTGATCTTTCATTATTGCTTGAGTTTTTAATATAATAAAGTATAACTCATTTTAATTCTTTAAAAAAACACTCTAAATATTTTTTCAAAAAGACAGAGTTAAAGAGATAAGCCAGAGTAGAGGAATCACTCGATTGGTGTCCCAGAGTCTGAGATAGGTTCCATTGTGCTTTAGAACTATTGGGAACAGGAGAGGAGATAAAGATGTATCTGGTGAATTAGACATTTTAATTAATGGAAGAGAAGGAAAAATTGCCTCACTATGTTTGTTTCACTGTAACTGTTCATTTGAATCAAGGAGAAGATCAGTTTCAGCAAGCAGCAGTCTTTGTCTGCAAGTCCTTCCACTGCATTCATCCCCACAGAGATCCTGGAAGCCTGTGGTGTCCAGGAAGTGGACATGTGAGAGGACAGGAAGCAACTAATCCCATCCTCTCCTGCTCCTGTTCCTGAGAATGACAGCACCACCTTCTCACTTGGGTGTGCACATTTCTTCGTCCTTCGTGATACCCAGGAAAGAAATTGGGGGGAAAAAAAAAAAAAGACTGTCTTCTTAAACTCTGCTTTTATCATTACCAAATTCCATCACCAAGGTAGCACTTTTTCATTCACATAACACTGACTAAAAATCCTTACACAGTTTCAGTTATGGTATGTGTTCTCCATATCTGGCCCTTCCTCCAAACCTCCATTCTTAGTCCCTAAGAGAGGAATCAATAATTATTATAAAGGAGGTGTGTGTGTGTGTGTGTGTGTTGGGTGGTGCATACAGAGCAGGAGGCAGGACCATAAGAAAGAAACTGAATGTGGTAAGATTACTGTCAGTTCTGATCGTTTTAACTGATTATGCTAATTAGAAGTAAAGTATTTGGTTTACTTTAACCTCACATCCTAAACATCCTGGAATCCCTTCATTGATGAAGTGCCTGGGAAATGAACTGTTACAGGTTAGAGCATCTAGTTAGGCATAAAAAAATTCCAGCTGCCTAGGATCAATGGGTAGGTTACTTAACCCCTGCCTCAGTTTGCCCTCTTTAAAATTGAGATCATGAGTCACTGTGAAGATTAAACAAATTAATAAATTAAAAGTATTTAGGACAATGCCTTATACTAGCAAGCACTCATTAATGTTAGCAATTATTCTCATTACCCACCCTCTTCATTTACCACAGTCTCGCTTCCATACCCATGCCCCCAAAGCCACCTTCACCCGGCTGTTCCCCCTGAGCTCACTTTTTATCCAAGCCCTCATCACAGGATCCTCTCTGTTTTAAGCGATGCTGCTGACCACTTCCAGGACATGTTTTACTCCTGTGTCACTGCTTCCTCCTTCTTAGGCTTCCTTAAGGGTTCCTTTCTCCTCATTTTTCATTTTAATGACCACTGTTTATATATGACTCTCAAATGAAATCTAGCACCTACTGCTGAAACTTTACATTTGTTTCCTGTATCACCTACTTGAAACAAGATTTTTAATTTCCCAGAGGCATCTGAAACTCAATATATCCAAAAGAGCCAATTTTCATTCTGGCTCTGTTCTCAGCTCCAAAGTCCCTCCAAGTGAGTTTTCTAATTCACTTTATGCACTCCGATACTCACAGTAACCCACACCAACTGCTTCAGATGCAGTCTTGACAACTCTTCACCTTAACTCAGAATGCCCAATTAACCACCACATCCTCTGTACTTTCCTTCTAACCATCTCTCAAATCTGTGCCCTCCACTCCTACCTGTCTCTGGTTTAGATTCTGTGCATCTTTTGCCAAAAACGCTGCAGTAGCCTCCAGCTGGTCTCCCTGCCTCAAACGATAGTTCTCCATTGACCAGCCACCTATGTCTCCTCCAAATGAAACTTCTTATTGCATTCTGTATAATACAGTAAGGTTCCTCAGCACGGCACAGTCCCTTCAGGTCTGATTCCTGCCAACCTTTCCACATTCATCTCCTGCCACTTCTACCAAAGTGACACACCTGCTTAACGACAGAGTCTGCAAACTGGCAGGCCCTCGGCTGGCCACGGCTGGCCCAATAATGTGTTTTATTTTGGCCACAAGTTTTTGAATGTTTTGCATTACTTGCTGAAATTTGAAAAGTGAAAAATTTCCCATGAAAACGTGCCTTTCTGGCTTCTCTTAAAAAACTGGAAGAACTGCCCTGGCTCGGTGGCTCAGTTGGTTGGAGCATCATCCTGTACACCAAAAAGGTTGTAGGTTCGATTCCCGGTCAGGGCACATACCTGGGTTGTGAGTTGGATCTCCGGTCAGGGTGCGTACGAGGGGCAGAATGGATCGATGTTTCTCTCTCCCTCCCTTTCTCTCCTCAAACACACCCTTGAGCAAGGATTTAAAAAAATAAATTGGAAGAACGGACCACCTTGGTCCCACACGCCTGCCTGGCAGGGTTGTGGCTGCCCCCTTGGGCAGGGATGACGGCTGTGGTTTTCAACAGCTCCCACTCCTCTCCTGGCTGCTTGCTTCAAAGGAGACCTCTTAGGTGCAGCCCTGGGATTAGAGTGCAGGGGCAGTGAACTGCCCATTTGCTTCTGCACGGAGCATCCTTTCTGCTTTAGGGTCAGCAGAGGCTAGGGGCTAACTCATCTTTCACGGCTCAGTGCAGCTCACATTCCTCCAGGAGCCTTCTCTGAGCCCACGATGCACCAAGCATCCTTTTCTGTATGTCCATATCAAACTGCCCATCCTCTGCACACCCCATACCCCGTTATATGCAGACGAAATGTTTCTGTAGTTCAGATCTGGAAACAGCCCAAGTGTCCATCAGGAGACGAGTGGATAACAAAGCTGTGGTACATGTACACAATGGAGTACTATGCAGCTGTAAGAAAGAAAGATCTCTTATCCTTTGAGACGACATGGAGGGACCTGGAAAGTATCATCCTACGCGAAACAAGCCAGTCAGAGAAAGACAAGTATCATATGATCTCACTTGTTTGTGGACTATAATGAACAAAATAAGCTGATGAGCAAGGACCGCAGAGACATTGAGGTAGGGATCAGACTGACGAACCTGAGAGGGTGAGGGGGATATAAACCGAAGAACTTACATGCATATATGCATAACCAGTGGACACAGACAACAGTGTGGGGAAGGCCTGGGGTGGGGCGGGAGCCGGAGTGGGACAAAGGGGGCCTGGGGGGCATCTGTAACACTGTAAGGGACAAAACCACGTTTGTGAAAGGTTTGAGTTCCTCACAAGACTCACCTCAGGGAGGAGCGACTGGCAATTCTCAGTGGCGATTTCTCGGGCCCCTAATATTATTCATCCAGCATTCTGTCAACAACCGTGAAGAAGGCGGCAGCATCTGACTGACATCTTAAAGGAAGAGCGTGTCCTTCTCTCCTGAGATACCTGCGGCTGCCCCCTCGCGCCTTACGAGTGCCAAGTACTACCAAAGAACTACAACTCCCATCAGGACCTTCGGGATCCCGGCCCTCGAGGAGGAAATTCAACTCAGGAACTACCGCTCCCGTGATGCCCCGCTTCGGACGTCTGCGCAGAGCCCAGGGACACGTTGCTTTTGCGGCGCCGGAGACCACGCACGCACCGCAGCATGGCTTCCGCGGACTCGCGGCGAATGGGGAATGGTGGTGGTGTCGGGGGCGCCTTCCAGCCCTACCTAGACTCCTTGCGGCAGGAGCTGCAGCAGGGGGACCCGACGCTGCTGTCAGTCGTGGTGGCGCTCCTGGCGGTGCTGCTGACGCTGGGTAAAGAGGCGGCGGGTGGTTCTGGAGAGTGCAGGGCGGGCAATCCCGGGCGTGGAGTGGGAGGACGCCGGGCGGAGAAGGCCACCTGGGCGGCGTCTGGAGAGGGAAACTCACCTGTGACACCGCGTCCTCCTGCCCGAAGCAGTGGGAGCAGCGTTGATTTCAAGGGGAACCCCCGCGACCCTGACGTGATGTCCTAGCCCTTGGGGAGCGGATTACTCTTCCCTCATCCGCCCCTTTTTAGCCTGAGCGCGTGATCCCCCCCTTACGTTGCTTTTACTACTAAGACTTACAGGGCCTCTACTCAAGTCTGAGCGTCCCGTGTTTGCGTGCGAGGCGCTGGGCATACAAAGTAAGACAAGGTTGCACTCAGAGTCCACAGTCGTGGTAAGGGGTGCACACAAAAGTTGACATTTGCTAGTGGCCGGTACTCAGAGGGGTCCCTAACAACAATAAAACAATTATAATGGTGGTAATAACAATAAAAGGAAGTTTCAGTTAATTTTGGTGTTCTGTGGTAGATTTCTATTAATTTCCCCACCCCAGCGATATATGCATATCGTTATTGATAAGGCATAATTTTGGTTCTTTTTTTCTATTCCACAGTATTCTGGAAGTTCATCCGGAGCAGAAGGAGCAGTCAAAGAGCTGTTCTTTTTGTTGGCCTTTGTGACTCTGGGAAAACATTGCTGTTTGTCAGAGTAAATGCTTTGATTTACATTTCTCTCAAACTTGATAGGAAATTTTAGGGCATCCCATTATTTCTCTAAGGTTGTGGTTTATTTGGGAGAAGAAACCGATGCTGATAAATTGGGGAGGTAATTCTTGACTCTCTTGGGTGGACAAAAAGACTCTTGAAAACTTACAAACTCAGATTTTTCGACCATTTCTATTTTCCTGCACTTGCCAAATATTGATATTTAGTCCTTGTCCCGTTTAAAGGATTTATGTAACTACTTTCATACCATCCCTAAGGATGCCAGAACGGCTGAAAAGTTAGAAGTCATTGATCTGTATATGATGTATAATCTGTTGCGCAATATACTCTCCTGATAGTTTGTCAAAGAAAAATTTTTAAAGGGTGATTCTTTGTCATTGGCTATTTAGGTTTCTTTTCACTAATACTTATTTTTAATCTATTTAATATTTTTATTTAGTTAGTTAGTTAATTCCTCCCCTGAGGATATTTTTCCATTGAATTTTAGAAAGAGAGTAGAAGGGAGGGAGGGAGAGAGAGACACATTGATCCCTTGCCTCCTGCACAACCCCGACCAGGGCCATGGATCGAACCTGCAACCTAGGTACATGCCCTTGACTTGAATCGACCCATAACCCTTCCATCTGAGGGCTGATGCTCTAAACACTGAGCCAAATTGACCAGGACTCTATTTAGCATTTTTAAATGTTTGGTTCTTTGTTGTGAAGAGTAGCAGAGGTTTTCTCCTTATTCTTGTTTTTGAGAGTATAAAATGTTTTCCTTCTGCTAAAGAAATAAAATCTTTAATTATGAATTTTTAATAATTAAAAATGTTTATGGAAGGTTGATAAATTTGGTCACTAGCCATTTGAAACTCTTATTTGAAAATAATAGAGGTTTTCCCCCTCTCAGTTGGTTAGAGGGGAATAAAGTTTGCAATTAACTAGATTTTTCTACAAGTCAAGGGGAAAAAAATTCAACATGGTCCTCTTCATCTATTGTAAGCAACATTCATTTATTTGACTAGACACTTAAAAGCATTAGAACAAAATTATTCGAAGTTTGCTATTTAGATGTTTACTCTGATCTCCCCATTTTATTACTTTTTTTTTTTTTTTTTTTTACAGTTGCTAACCGGCCTTTACAGAGACACTCAAACTTCTATCACTGACAGCTCTGCTGTGTACAGAGTCAACAATTCCAGGGTAAGGGGTTCCTAGAATGTTGGGAGTTTGACAGTTTTACTTTACTTTGGTGTGTCAGGAAAGAACATTTATAAGATAAATTAGTGTAAGGATGTTGCGTATTTTTATGGATAAATATAACACATGTGACAAATTCTGCTCTTCACCATCCTGGCAACAGATTTAATCATGTCCTCCCCTGCTTCGTTGTACTTCATGTACACTGATGTTACATCACGTTTTATTAGTTTTTGTTTCTGTGTCTTAAGGGTGAACATTAAGCCTTTCTCTTTTCATTTATGTTTTGAATATGTAATACATGTATATGGGACAAAAATTCAAAAGGTTAAAAAAGATATGTGGTAAAAAGTCATCTTGCCTTTCCTATCCCTACTCCCCAGTCTTCTCTTTAGATGTAATAACTTCCCCTTTTCCTGTGTATCCTTTCAGATGGTCTATGCATGTATAAACATATCTATATACCCTTTAATTTTTTTTTCTTTGTAACACTGTTCTACCTATTGTTTTATGTATTTTTTAAATTTAACAATATGACTAATACAGCTTGGGGTTGATTTTTTTTTTTTCCCTCATTTATACCTAGTTGGTTAATGAGCTGCATAGTGTACCATTATGTGGCTGTACCATACGATTAAGTTCTCACTTAATATGAGCTATATTAACAGACATTTATATTGTTGTTTTTGTTTTGTTTTTTTTTGTTTTGTTTTTTTTTTTATCCTCACCCAAGGATATTTTTCCATTTTTTGTACAGATAGAGTGGGAGGGAGAGAGAGGAAGGGAGAGACAGACAGAAACATCGATGTGAAGGGACACATCGAGTGGCTGCCACCCGCACGACCAACCAGGGCCGGGGACAAACTGCAACCGAAGTACGTGCCCTTAGCGGGAACTGAACCCGGGTCTCTCCAGACCGCAGGCCGACGCTCTAACCGCTGAGCCAAACTGGCCAGGGCTATATTGTTGTTTTAATCTTTTGTTTTTACATACAATGTTGCAGTGTGGGTATCTTAAAGAGTATGCATGATATTTCAAAAAAATATCTATAAGGAGTCATGAGAAGGACTTTTTATGTACCTATGTAGCTATAGAATGTCGATAGTGACGGTCAAGCCAGTTATAATGCTTAATAAGTATTTGGTGAGTGAGTAGAGGAAAGTCTGGGAGCCTGGTTGGAGATCTTAGAGACCATCTCTTGTGTTTCCCCTACTTCTCTGGTTTTTGTAGAATTAAACATTGTAAGCAAAGATAAAGAGACATCCTTTTAAATGTCCTAAAAGTAGTTTTGCTTTTATCAGTAATGGCATTCTTTTTGGCTCAGTACTTTCTAAACTCCCAAGGATTCAGATTTTGAAATTTCGGTTTGGGAGATAGTTAATTCTTGAGGCAGTTGTACCAGATTTTTTAAGTGGGGTATTCCAGGCTATGCCTTAGACCTATACTTTCCAATAGAGTTGCCACTGGCTACTTGTGACTATTGAGCACCTGAAATGTGACTAGTCCAAATTGAAGGGTGCTGTAAGTGTAAAATATACACCAGATATTGAAGACTTGGAATGAATAAAAGTATGTAAAATATCATTAATGTTTTGATTTTTTTTTTTTTTTATCCTCACCCGAGGACATTTTTCCACTTTTTGTTAAGATAGAGTGGGAGGGAGGGAGAGAGAGAGAGAAACATCGACGTGAAAGGGACACATCAAGTGGCTGCCACCCGCACGACCAACCAGGGCCAGGGACAAACTGCAACCGAGATACGCGCCCTTAACAGGAACCAAACCTGGGTCTCTCTGGACCACAAGCTGACGCTCTAACCGCTGAGCCAAACCGGCCAGGGCTGATTTTTTATTATATATTAAAAGGATAATATTTTACATACTTGCCCTACTTTTGTGGAGCAAAAGTGTATAGTTGTGAATACAAGAAACAGTTTATTCTTGTATTATTATTTATTAATTACTATATTATTTTCCATACTAACAACTATAAATCTACTTCTGCCCCACCCTGTATGTTGAGTTAAATAATATATATTATTAAAGTTAATTTTACCTATTTCTTTTTACTTTTTAAAGGTAGTTTACAGAAAACCTAACATTACATATGAGACTTGTATATTTCCATTGAATATGTAGAGCATTCCTCACTTCTCTTTTTTACTCCTTCTCTCACTCCCCTTATATTTTAGATCTAATCTCTTGCTCAGGATAGTAATGTATCTTACAGTGTATCTTCTGAATTATTTATAGTATTTGGTGAAGTGCTCATTATGAAATGTGATAGTGGGTCCCAACCTGAGGTCCCTAGGCTCTTAGCTATGCTTAAAAAAAAAAAGGACTGCCCTGGCCGGTTTTGCTCAGTGGTTAGAGTGTCGGCATTCAGACCAATGAGTCGCGGGTTTGATTCCGGTCAGAGGCACGTGTCTTGGTTGCAGTTTGGCCCTGGCCCTGGTCTGGGTCGTGAGGGAGGCAACCAGTCTACGTGTCTCTTTCACGTAGATCTTTCTGTTTCTTTCTCTCTCTCCCCCCCTTCCCTCCCTCTCTCCCTCTCCCTTTTTTCCTTCTCCCCCTCTCCCTTCCTCCTTTCCTTTCACTCTATCTGAAGATAAATAGAAAATATCCTTGGGTGAGGATTAAAAAAAAAAAAAGGAGTTTATATACCATATTTTTACCCATAAAAGACTGTGCAGGCTAAGTAACAAGTCATAATAAATCCAGCTATATTTATGTCAGAATCTGAGTAATACTTACTCCCTTCCACTAAATAATGGTTAAGGCTGGCTATGGATAAGATAAAACATCTGAGAAATGATTCATGGGTCTGATGATACATGTTCCAGAGCTGTATCTGAGGATATTACCATTGAGTATAGCCACATCTACATAACCTGAGCTCAAGAACGAAGGCTTTGAATAAATAGCACTTAAATGGGTGCTTAATGAGTCTGCTCAGTAGGGGCATAACCCCTCCCTGTTTCAATGATTGATATCTGGATCAAGAATTGACACAAAATATTGACAAAGTTGTAACGTGGTATGTCTGGTAGACATATTTAAAGTTATGGTGGAAATGAGCCCTGGCCAGTTTGGCTCAGCGGTTAGAGCGTTGGCCTGCGGTCCGGAGAGACCCGGGTTCGGTTCCCGCTGAGGGCACGTACCTCGGTTGCAGTTTGTCCCCGGCCCTGGTTGGTTGTGCGGGTGGCAGCCACTTGATGTGTCCCTTCACATCGATGTTTCTCTCTCTCTCTCTCTCCCTCTCTCTCCCTCCCACTCTATCTGTACAAAAAATGGAAAAATGTCCTCGGGTGAGGATAAAAAATAAATAAATAAAAATAAAGTTATGGTGGAAATGAAAAAGAATGTTTGTTACAAAGATTGGGGATCCCTATAATGTTAACAGGCTATGTGGTAAAATACAGGGTCTTAATATTACTTAGTTTTGGATATTACTGTTTTTCACGTTTTTGCTGTCATTTATACTAGCGTATTTCCCTGGCCTCAGATGGACCACACTTCCCTCACTCCCCCAGACAGGGTCAGGTTTTCTCATGTACCTTCAGAACATTGATCAAAGTTGTAATTTTACATTTACGTATATATAATTTTATATTGTGTTCATCTTTCTTTTATAAGCCCTGTTAGAGCAGGGACTATGTCTGGTTTTGCTCATTGTTTCTGAATGGATAATTTGTAAATAAAAGATGCCTGATAAACATTTGTTCGATTCATTAATTAGAGTGAGCATTTTTTTGATTAATTAATTGGCCACTATTCTGGTACCTGAAATCTGATATGAAAGGTTTATGTTGTGAATGTGCATCAGAACCAAACATTAACTTAATGTTATTGCTGCCTTCCTTAGGGCGCTAGCCTGACTTTGATTGACCTCCCTGGCCATGAAAGCTTGAGACTTCAGTTCTTAGAGCGGTTTAAGGCTTCAGCTCGGTGAGTAGGAAGTAGAATGAGCTTGTCTGAAATCTGTATATCAAGACATGTTGTTTGCTGTGATGGTATTTGGGAAGCAGCCTGGTATCCTGGAGTGGAAAGAGTATGGACCGTGGGGTCAGCCAGTTTTGGGTTGCAAGCCTACCTCCACTAGGATTTTATGAGGATTATGTGAGATAACGTTTGGCATGTTTCTCAGTGCTCAGAAAGTATTAACCCTTATTATCATGTTAGTAAAGTTTTCAGTTACTCTGAGGACAAATTCAATCATGTATAGAACTATTAAAATCTGAAAAAAGAATTTTAAAGCTAAGTGGAATTCTAGACGTTATTAAAATCCAATATTATATATTTATATTCTTAAATTACTTAAAATTGGTGCTTCAAAAGTACAGAACAGTATTTTCATATTTCTTTTAGTATTGTTCTGTTACTTACTCTTATTTCCTAAAATTCTTGTGCTACAGTTTAAGATGCTTTATTCTTACTTAGTTTCTAACCCTGGTAAAAACTTAAGAGGAAAATCAATATATCAGATTCACTAATTTTTAAAAATTTTTTTATCTTCACCCAAGGACATTTTTCCATTTTTTTGTTCAGATAGAGTGGGAGGGAGAGAGAAGACGAGAGAGACATAGAAACATTGATGTGAAAGGGACACATCGAGTGGCTGCCACCTGCATGACCAACCAGGGCCGGGGACAAACTGTAACCGAGGTGCGCGCCCCTAGTGGGAACCGAGCCGGGTCTCTCGGGACCGCAGGCCGACACTCTAACTGCTGAGCCAAGCCGGCCAGGGCAGATTTCACTAATTTTTAAAACACATTTTAATATCTATGAAATTGAAATTCTGCTTTACAGTTGGTGTTATAGAAGAATTTTCATTCATAGTATTTTTTCTTTCTTAGCTGTACCTGAAATAATGTTTTTTAATTGATGGAATCTTAGGCTTGATGGAATGAGGTAGTTTTTTTACTTATTTTTTGAAGATGTGTTGACTTACATTTTGTTGTTGCTTCCTTGCCCACAAGATGGTGGTGATAAGCAATCTATCACAGATGAGACTGTTGTATGATTTTTAAAGAACAGTTTTTTTAGAGCAGTTTTAGGTTCACAGCAAAATTTAAACAGAAGATACAGAGATTTCCCATATACCCCTATCCCCACCCGTGGAAAACCTCCCCTATTGTCAGCGTCCTCCACCAGATTGGTTCATTTGTTATAGTTGATGAACCTACGTTGACTTAGCATAATCACTCAGAGTCTGTATTTAACATTAGGATTCACTCTTTGTGTTGTACATTCTATAGATTTGAACAAGTGTATAATGACATGTGTTTACCATTATAGTATCATACAGAATAGTTTCACTGCCCTAAAAATCTTCTTTGCTCTACCAGCTCATCCCTCTCTCTCCCCTAACCTTTGATAACCACTTTTTTTACCGTCTCCATAGTTTTGGCTTTTCCAGAATGTCATAGTTGGAATCATACAGTATATAGCCTTTTCAGATTGGCTTCTTTCACTTAATATGCATTCAGGTTTCTTCCATATCTTATTTTTGTTGTTAATTCTCACCATTGATTTTTATAGAGAGAGTGGAAGGGGGGAAGGGTGAGAGAGAAAGAGATCAATGTGAGAGAGACACATCTATTGATTGCCTCCTGCATGCCCCCCACTGGGGATTTGGCCCACAACCTGGGCATGTGCTCTGACTGTGAATCGAACCGGCGACTCTTGGTGCATGGGTCAGTGCTCAGCCACTGAGCCACACCAGCTGGGCTCTAGATTCATTTTTTGCATGTAGATGTCTAGCTGTTCTGGCACCATTTGTTGAAAGGCTATTTTTCTTTCATTTTATTGTCTTTACTCCTTTGTCAAAGATCAGTTGAGTATATTTATGGGAATCTTTTTCTGGACTTTATTCTGGTGTATTGATCTATTCTTTCACCAGTACCACACTGTCTTGATTACTATAGCTTCATAGTTAACTGAGTAGTATCAGTCCTCTGACTTTGTTCTTCAATATTGTGTGTTGGCTATTTTGGTCTTTTTTTTTCTCTTTATATAAACTTTAGAATCAATTTGTTGCTATCTACAAATAAATTGCTAAGATTTTGATTGGAATTGCATTGACTCTATAGATCAACTTGGAAAGAACTGACATCTTGATGATACCGTTATAATTAACTAGTTATTAATTACAGGAAAGGAGCAAAAGGAAGGCCAAATATTATTGTCATGTCATTTGGGCAGCTTCACCAGGAAGCTAAAGCTTCATGTTCCCCAGGGAGCCACCTGTCTATTCTGCAGGGAGGACCTGGACAGGGAGGAGAATGGAGCCATGCCCAGTAAAATGGGGTGACATAGGGAAGATGCCTGCTGTCAGTCATTGGCTAGAATGGGCATGGCCACTGCAAGGGTGCAAAATATGGAGTATTTAATCCCCTAAACAAAGGAATTCATGCTCTGGTGTTCTTGTGCTCTTGGTTCCTCTTATGCTCTTGGGACTCTTATTGCTCGGAGTGGGCTCACCTGTATTTGCCCACATGGCCACCCCCACACACAGTGAACTAATGGACTGTAACTAGCCCGATGCTGAACTGGACCCAGGTGTAACATGGGACAGAAACTCCGGACACTGGCTTTGCTTTTAGCTTTTCTGAAACCCCAGCTACACTTCTGTAACTTGAATTGGAAACCCAAGGATGTAATTCCACACAAATAAAAATCACTCATCCTCCCATGTGAGTCTCAGAAAATTATTTTTCTCAAGATATCATAAGAACTCCACCTGCAGCACCCATTAGGGAAGAGGACACTCCAATTTCTCCTGTAGCATTGACACTATATAGTCTTCCTATCTGCAAATGTGGGATTTCTCTGTTTATCTAGTTCTGCTTTGATTTTGTTCATCAGAGTTTTGTGGTTTTTCTCTTGTAGATCTTGTACATATTTTATTAGATTTATATCAGTTTCATCTTTTGGGTGCTCATGCAAATGGTGTTATGTTTTTAACATCAAATTCCACTTGTGTATTCTTGATATTTGAGAAAGCAAGTGGCTTTGTGTATTAACCTTGTATTCTGCAACACTGCTATAATTGCTTATTAGTTCCTAAGTTTGTTGCTGTTTCTTTCAGATTTTCTGCAAAGGTAATCATTTTATGTACAAACAGACACATTTTTATTTCTTCCTTCTTAATCTGTATACCTACCTTTTATCTCCTTTTCTTGTCTTAATGGATTAGCTAGGAATTCCGGTAGTGTTCCAAAAATAATGATGAGAAGGGACATCCATGCTTTGTTCCTGGTCTTAGAAGGAAAGCTTTGAATCTCATACCATTAAATACATTAGGTATATGTGTTTTGTAGATATTCTTTATCAGGTTGAGGAAGTTCCCCTCTATTTCTAGTTTTTATCATGAATGGGTGTTGGATTTTGTCAACTGCTTTTTTTTGCATCTATTGAATATGGTCATGTGATTTTTCCTTTTTAGTTTATTGATGGGATTGATTACATTAATTGATTTTTGGATAGTGAATCAGCTTTGCGTACCTGGGATAAATCCTACTTGGTTGTTGTGAAACTGATTTATGATAAGAAATATATATTTGATCCTCCTGTTTCTGGCGCAGAGCTCCTACCTACAGCCCTAAGTGAAGAGAGCAAGAGAGGTGCTTTTATTATGTTAATGAAGAGACTTTTAGACCGCACCTAAGGATGGGGGCTTGTTGCCAAGAGAACCAACCATGTGCTTAGAGGGTTGGAACTTTCAGTCCTGTCCAGAGGGGAGAGAAGCTGGAGGTTGAATCAGTTGCCATAGGCCAATGATTTAATCAACCATGCCTAAGTAGTTATTGGCCATAAATACCCAAAAGGGTGTGGTTTGGAGAGCTTCCAAGTTGGGAAACCAGAATGCTTCCACATGCTACCATGCAGGGCCCAAACACCATGGGGACAAAAGCTTCTTCATTTAAGTTTTTTTTTTTATCCTCATCCGAGGACACTTTCCCATTTTTTGTTCAGATAGAGTGGGAGGGAGAGAGAGGAAGAGAGAGAGAGAAACATCGACGTGAAAGGGACACATCAAGTGGCTGCCTCTCACATGACCCAACCAGGGCTGGGGACAAACTGCAACCGAGGTTTGTGCCCTTAGCGGGAACCGAACCCACATCTCTCTGGACCCTAGGCCGACACTCTAACCGCTGAGCCAAACCAGCCAGGGCCAAAAGCTTCTTTATTCAGGACCTCATCCTATGTATCTCTTCATCTAGTTGTATCCTTTAATATCATTTATAATAAACCAATAAATAATTTAGTGAATAAATAGGTTTCCTGAGTTCTGTAGCCACTCTAGCTAATTAATTGAATCCAAGGAGGGGGAATATCTGATTTATAGCCAGTCGGTCAGAAGTACAGGGAACAACAACCTGGACTTGTGACTGGCATCTGAGGTCTCCTCTAGCAAATTACTTGAACCCAACGAGGGAGTTGTGGGAACCTCCAATCTATAGCCAGTCGGTCAGAATTACAGGTGATTCACATCTGAAGTGCAGAGCAGTCTTGTGGGACTGAGCCCTTACCCTGTGGAACCTTATGCTAGCTATATCCAGGTAGTGTCAGAAACAAGTTAAATTGTATGACACATACCTGGTGTCAGCAGCATTGCTAGGTGGTACTGGAAACCCTCACCCCCTACATTGGAATTGGGTCCAGAAGCCATTATTTGTGGTACATAATTACTTTTATATTCCTTTTATAAATTCAATTTGTTAATATTTTTTGAGGATTTTTACATTTATGCTCATGAGGTGTTCAACTGTAGTTTCCTGTTCTTGCAGTGTCTTTGCTTTTGGTATTACAGTAATGCTGTCTTCATAGAATGAGTTAGGAAATAGTCTCTCTGCTTCTATTTTCTGAAAGATTGTGGAGAATTGGTATATTTTATTTTTTCAATTCAGTATATCTGACATGTAACATTTTGTAACCTTCCTTAAATGTTTGATAGAATTCACCAGTGAACCCTTATGTGCCTGGTATTTTCTGTTCAGAAGGATTTTAATTAATGATTCAGTTTATTTAATAGATATAGGCCTATTCAGATTATTTATTTCTTTTGTGAGTTTTGGTAGATTATGTATTTCAAGAAATTGGACCTTTTCACCTAGGTTATCAAATTTGTCCGTTTAGAGTTGTTCGCATTATTCCTTGATTATCCATGAGATCTGTAGTAATACCCCCTTCATTTCTGATATTAGTAATTTGTGTCCTTGCTCTCTTTATTTTCCTTAGCCTGGCTAAAAGTTTATCAATTTTATTGATTCCTCCCCACCCCCACCCCAAGAACCAACATTTGAATTTGTTGGTGCTCTCTATTGATTTCTGGGTTACCAATTTCATTGATTTCTGCTCTTTTATTATTTCTTTTCTCCTGCTTACTTTAGATTTATTTTTATTTATTTATTTACTTTAGATTTAATTTGCTCTTAATTTTTCTAGCTTCCTTAGATTATTGATTTTAGGTCTATCTACTTTCCTAATCTGTGCATCCATGCCATAAATTTCACGGGGTATAGAATTATATTGTTGGGATTTTTCTCTCAAAGAAAAATTAAGGATATAAGTTTTCAGTGTACTGCCACACTGTTGAATGCTCACATGCCAGTATTTCATTTTCCCCTCCAGGGCTGTTGTGTTTGTTGTGGATAGTGCAGCCTTCCAGCGAGAGGTGAAAGATGTGGCCGAGTTTCTGTATCAAGTCCTCGTTGACAGCATGGGTCTGAAGAACACACCATCATTCTTAATTGCCTGCAATAAACAAGGTACCATCATATTATCTGGCAATAATAACAGATTCTCCTGGGATTGCTAGTAAGAGTTAATACAGTTATCTAAAATTATTATTATTGAGGATGAAAGACAATTGCTAATGAAGTAATAAATTGAAGGATTTTAATTTTTTTTTTTAATCCTCACCCAACGATACTTTTTTCCATTTTTATCTTCAGATAGAGTAGGAGGGAGGGGGGTGGAGGGGAAGAGAGAGAAAAGAGAGAGAGAGAGAGAGAGAGACAGACATCAAAGTGAGAGAGACACATCAATTGGTTGCCTCCCGCATGACCTGACCAGGGCCAGGGGCTGAACTACAACCTTGACCAGAATTGAACCCTCTACTCTTTGGTCCGTGGGCCAACACTCTGTAGCTGAGCCAAACCAGCCAGGGCAAGGATTTTAATTCTTAAAATTTATTTATACTCCTGCCCTGGCTGGTTTGGCTCAGCAGTTAGTGCGTCAGCCTGTGGACCAAAGAGTCACGGGTTCAATTTCGGCCAAGGACACGTACCTTGGTTGCAGTTCATCCCCGGGCCCCAGTTGGGGTCGTGTGGGTGGCAACTAATCAGTGTGTGTCTCTCACATCGATGTTTCTCTCTCTCTCTCTCCCCCTCCCACTCTGTCTGAAGATAAATGTAAAAATATCCTTCGGTGAGGATTTAAAAAAAATTATTTTTTGTTTGTACTCCTGCATTTTATTAGTTATCTTATCTGGTTATTTTAGGGAGTGACTTAAAATTTTTCTCTTTGACACAGTGTTTTGCTTTTTTGTTTGTTTTTATTAATCCTTACCTGAGGATATTGTTTCATTGATTTTTTAGATAGAGTGGAAGGGGGAGGGAAGAGGAGAGAGTGAGAGAGTGAGAGCCCCATCAATGTGAGAGAGACACACTGATTGGTTGCCTCCTGCATGACCCTGACTGAGGCTGGGGATCAACCTGCAACCCAGGTACATGCCCTTGACTGGGAATTGAACCCGTGACCCTTTGGTCCGAGGGCTGATGCTCTAACCGCTGAGCCAAACCAGCCAAGGCTGTTTTGCTTTTGTAAAAGTATTAATCATCTTTACCTAGTTAAGTTAGTCAGATTGACAATATATCTGTTAGATACTCAATTGTGAAGGGACAGGTGGAGTCTCTGCATTTCATCAAGGGGAGTTTGCAGAAGTTGTTTTTCTTTAACCTTATAACCATTAAAAACTTTTTAGTCACACCCAATAAAACTAGGCTTCAGTTTCATTACTTCTAAAATAAGATAGAGTAGTTGATCTTTAAAGGCCTTTTTCGTATATAAAATTCTGAATCTATGGAGAGCCCCAGCACATTTCTCAGAAGTGATCAGGTAATAAATCTAACAATACTTAAACAGGAAACAGTTTCAGAATCATTACCTGGCCTCTTTATTTCTCCTGTTCAGTATAAAAGCAGAGGTAATATTTATTTGGCTTCTGCTGTGAGGCAAACCAGTGCTTATTTCTTACCAGTGTGTACTTGATGCTGTAACATACCTTTTTAGTATTGGTTGGAAATATGCTTAGTTTACTTTTATATGACAGGTAGGGTATTTATTTTGGAGTGAAGGCTTTTATTAAAATAAAGCTGGTTAGTTTTATTTTTGTTACACTGGCTGGACTTACATATATGTTGATTTAAAAGGTCTGTAAGGTATGGAAAACTCATGAAAGAGCTAGTCAGTTTTAGAGTCACCAACTTAATATATTTGTAAGCATTATACGAAAACCCCTACATCCAAATGTAAAATTTACTTTGATAAGGAAGCTACTAGTGATAAAAAGCTTTTATTATTTTAAATGTGTGTTGAAGGGGCAGGGTACTGGTCTTAATAAGAATTGTCCATATTTACAAGAAATCTTGGGAAAAGACTCTTTCTGGTTTAAACTATAACAGTGTCTTCATTTCTTTACAGATATTACAATGGCAAAATCAGCAAAGTTAATTCAGCAGCAGCTTGAGAAAGAACTGTAAGTATGAATAAGTTTCATTAGTTAATATTTGAATGACAGCTTTGTTGGGTATAATATTTTTGGTAGTTTTTTTTTTTTTTTCTTTTTAGCATTTTGAATATATTATCCCACTCTACTGGCCTGCAAGGTTTTAGTCTTATGGGGTTTCTCTTGTGTGTGACAACTGACTTTTGTCTTGCTGCTTTCAAAATTCTCTGTCTTTGACTTCTGTCATTTTGATTATAATGTCTCTATAAAGCTCTCTTTAATCTATTTGGGGATCATTGGGCTTAATGGATCTGAATGTTCATATCTCTCCCAAAATTTAGGGTTTTTCTATCATTATTTCTTTAAATAAAGTTTTTGGCTTCTTTGTCTTTCTCTGTTCCTTCTGGGTCTCCCATAATGATGTCCCATAAGTTATGTGAGCTTTTCTTCACTCTTTTTTCTTTTTAATCTGCTCATTGGGTAATTTCAAATGATCTCATTCTTCTGCTTAATCAGATCTGCTGTTGAAGCTCTGAAATTTTTACATCAGTCATTGTGTTCTTCAGATCTCAAATTTTTTTAATGATTTCTGTCTTTCTGTTGAACTCATTTTGAGCATATATTGTTATCTTCATTTTGTTGCGTTGTCTGTGTTCTTTTGTAGCTCACTGAACTTTCCGACGATTATTTTGAATCCTTTGTCAGGCAGTTCATAGATCTTTATTTCTTCAGGCTTAGTTATTGGTGCTTTATTTTGTTTCTTTGGTTGTATCATGTTTCCCTGATTATTCATGATCTTTTTGTTCTTGAATTGGTGTCTGCACACATTTGAAAAAGTAAACACCTCTTCTAGTCCTCACAGACTGGCTTTGTAAGAGAAAGACCTTCTTGCCCAGCCGGTGTGTCTCAGTGGTTGAGCATCGACCCATGCACCAAGAGGTTGCTGGTTCGATTCCCAGTCAGGGCACATGCCCAGGTTATGAGCCAAATTTCCACTGTGGAGCATGCCGGAGGCAGCCATCGATATTCTCTCTCATTGATATTTCTATCTCTCTCTCGCTCTTCCTCCTGTAAACCAAAAGGGGGTGGGTTTGATTCCTGGTCAGAGCACATAGCCAAGTTGCAGGTTCAATCCTTGGTTGGGGTGCAGGTGGAAGGCAACTAATCAATGTTTCTCCACCCCGCCCTTCTTCTCTCAAAAATTAATTTTTAAAAAGAGAGAGAGAAAGGCCTTCTCTAGTCAGTCCAGCCAGAGATTCTGGGTGGGCTTGCTGCTGAGTCCTTGGACAGGCTGGCCTGGCTCCTGGGTCCATGGGCTGGTGGGTCTACTGCCTGGAGTCATGGAAGTTGGCCTGGCTTCAAGTCCACTTGGGCAGGCCTGTAACCTGAATCTGTCATGTCCAGCCAGGTGCCTTGGCCTACTGGACCTGGCCTTGTACAGAGGTCCACTGGGGTAAACCTGGAGCCTCAATCCAAAGGAGGGGGCCTGGGCCCACAGGGGCTGGCCTAGTGCTGGGTTCTGCAACACAGTAGGTGTTCACTTCACTCTTCTTATCCCGTGTGGGGTGTATCTCTTCACGCTGCACTGTGCAAGCTTGCAGAAGTAATATTGGTAATGTGAAACTGTTCTTTCCACCCTATTCAGTGTGTCTTTTCCTTTTCTTTTTAAATCCTCACCCAAGGATATTTTTCCATTTATCTTCAAATAGGGTGGGGGTGGGGGGTGGGGTGGGAGAGAGACATCAATGTGAGAGAGACTCCTCAAGTGGTTGTCTCCTGCACAGCCCTGACCAGGACTGGGGACTGAACCACAACCGAGGTATATACTCTTGACCAGAATTGAACCCACAACTCTGGTCCACAGGTGGATGCTCCCAACTGCTGAGCCAAACTGACCAGGGCAAGGTCTTTCTCCCTTTTTTTAAAAAAAATTTTTTTCTTTATTTGTCTGTGCTACACCCAGGTGCTCTCACCTGGATTCCATAACCCTCATGAACACATTTTCATGCATGGATGGTTATTTAAATTGATGTTTCTGTGAGAGGACTTAGGCTGGGAACTCCTGTTCTGCTCTCTTGCTGATGTCACTGTCAGTGGTTTCGCTCCCTTCTCGGCATGTTTATCATCTCTTCCCACACTCTTGACGCTCACTCTCTTGAGAATATATATTGTTTGTCATTAGGCTAAGGAAATTGAAACAATTCGATGATTTTGGCTTTCCGAAATACTCTGTTGTAATTGTTAGATATTGTCTTTGGGAAAAAAGCAATCATATTATTTGTGTATTTGTATTTTTTTTAACAGTATAGTCCAAGTCTTCTCATGTTTAAAACACTTGTTTTCCTTAGTCCATTTGCTGTTCACTCTAAAGAGCCATAGAAAAAAATTCCGAAGGAAATGCTGTATTGTAATGAAGTGAAGTGAACTGTTAAAAAATTGTAAAAGTTAGTGTCAGTTAAATTAGGAGTCTCATTTTAATTTAATCCTATGTTAGAATTAGGCTCTATCAGTTTTTAATTTTTTCTGTCTTCTGTGAATAACAAAGATTACTATGTTTACATGGCTATTATAAAGCATTATATATACAATACATATAACACATGTATTGAGTTTAAAGAATACTAAAATGAATACCCATTAACTCACCACCTTGCTTAGGTACTCCTTCCCCAAAGCATTAGGCCCTGTGTGTTCTCCCCAAAAGCTTTTCCCTATTACCTCAACAGGTAAATAATACCTTGATTTCATATTTGTTTTTGTTTTGTTTTTTTATCCTCACCCGAGGATATTTTTCCATTTTTTTGTACAGATAGAGTGGGAGGGAGAGAGGAAGGGAGAGAGAGACAGAAACATCGACGTGAAGGGACACATCGAGTGGCTGCCACCCGCACGACCAACCAGGGCCGGGGACAAACTGCAACCGAAGTACATGCCCTTAGCGGAAACCGAACCCGGGTCTCTCCGGACCGCAGGCCGACGCTCTAACCGCTGAGCCAAACCGGCCAGGGCTCATATTTGTTTTTTAAAATATTTTTTCTGTATGCGTATGTGTCTTTCTAAACAAGGTAGTGTTTGGTTTTTCCTATGCATTCTTCACTGATTCTCATGCAATATTACAGCAGCAAGAAATGCTTTATTTTGTAAGAAAGCAGGTTGGCAGCATGTATTCCTCTGCTTCTGGATAGCAGAAAGGGGGAGGCAGGTAGATGACCATTGCTTATGCACTGTTTATTAGGGCCAGCAGGTGGCAGTAAGGAGGTTTAAATTGCAAAGATTTTAGTGGTTAAAGAGGTTGGAGAATAGTAATTGTGCCCAAATAGGATATGAGAATCTAGAGTTTGTGGATTTCTAAGCTCTATATCCAAAAGACTCAAGATAAATATAATTATCCTATCTACCCACACTTAAGTTTCAGAAACTTACATTTTTATAACATAGCATATATATATATAAATATATATATATTTTATTTTTTATCCTCACCCGAGGACATTTTTGCAATTATCTTCAGACAGAACGGGAGGGAGAGAAGGAGGAAAAGAGAGAGAGAGACATCGATGTGAGAGAGACACATCGAGTGGTTGCCACCCACACGACACCAGCTGGGGCTGGGGACAAACTGCATCCAAGATATGTGCCCCTAGCAGGAACCGAACCTGGGACTCTCTGGTCCGCAGGCCTACACTCTAACTGCTGAGCCAAACTGGTCAGGGCAGCATAGCATATATTTTTTATTTTTTTATTTTTTTATCCTCACCCGAGGACATTTTTGCATTTTTTGTTCAGACAGAGCGGGAGGGAGAGAGAGGAAGAGAGAGAGAGAGAGAAACATCTATGTGAAGGGACACATCGAGTGGTTGCCATCCGCACGACCAACCAGGGCCTGGGACAAACTGCAACCGAGGTACGTGCCCTTAGCGGGAACCGAACCCGGGTCTCTCTGGACCGCAGGCCGACGCTCTAACCACTGAGCCAAACCGGCCAGGGCAGCATATATTTTTTAAAAATACACACACAGCCCTGGCCGGTTTGGCTCAGCGGTTAGAGCATCGGCCTGCGGTCCCGGGAGACCCGGGTTCGGTTACCGCTAAGGGCATGTACCTCGGTTGCAGTTTGTCCCAGGCCCTGGTTGGGTTGTGTGGGTGGCAACCACTCGATGTGTCCCTTTCACGTCAATGTTTCTCTCTCTCTCTCTCTCCCTCCCACTCTATCTGAACAAAATATCAAAAAAAAAAAAAAAGTCCTCGGGTGAGGATATAAATACACACACACATATAATTAATATATATATATATATATATATATTTTTTTTTTATGCCATCATTCAGGAGATCCTGGTAGAAGGGGGCACTGGGCTGAAAGAAGGCTGGTGTGACCTGGGCCCTTTACTGCTGTCATTTAGCCATGTAAGGTTGGACCCCCATCTCACCTTTGTCCAAGAGAGTGATCTATAAATGCACAGGATTATTCAGCAGCTATAATAGCATAATTGACAGTTTTATGATTAAGCATTTAAATGAGTGCTGAAATACTTAGGGAATAATTTGATTTCCTAAAGGCCTTTAATTGTGATATTAAAAATGAAATTCTTTTTGCTTCCTGACTCATTTTTGTTTTGCCTCACAGCAACACTTTACGAGTCACCCGCTCTGCTGCCCCCAGCACACTGGACAGTTCCAGCGCAGCCCCGGCTCAGCTGGGAAAGAAAGGCAAAGAGTTTGAATTCTCACAGCTGCCCCTCAAAGTGGAGTTCCTGGAGTGCAGTGCCAAGGGTGGAAGAGGGGACGCTGGCTCTGCTGACGTCCAGGACTTGGAGAAATGGCTGGCTAAAATCGCCTGAGGGGCAAAGCCAAACCGCAAGGCGTGAAGGTGTATGTGGTGATGGACAATTTTGGAAAAGAGTGTAGTTAGAAACATTTCCTTGTTCTGGAAACAAATTATTGTTGCATTCAGCTTGGAATTTTTTTTAAGTTCAATTCCCTGTGTTGCTTTCAAACTTGTGACTTTTATTTGACTCCTGTGCCTTCCCTTTGTTCAGGTGTATGTGACGTCCCTTTAGTGTATGCTTGATGTGGGTTAAGGTCTCCAGAAGCAGACTCCACATAGAGAACATCATGAGAACATGGTTATTACCTGAAAAGTTTCTTGTCTTGTGCTTTGGTCCCTTTTTCCTGGAAACAAACCCGTCTGTGAATGGAACCAGTTAATTTCACGTTACCCTTGAAGGTTCATGGACAGTACATCATCTAGTCCTTTGTGTTTTTTTTTTAAAGTTACTTTTATTTTTTTTTAAAGATGATCTTTATTTTTTTCTTTCAATATTTTTGTTCAGATAGAGTGTGGAGGGAGAAAGAGAGAGAGAAACATCGACGTGGAAGGGACACGTCGAGTGGTTGCCACCCACACGACCCAACCAGGGCTGGGGACAAACTGCAACGGAGGTACGCGCCCTTAGCGGGAACCAAACACAGGTCTCTCAGGACCGCAGGCCAACGCTCTAACCGCTGAGCCAAACCGGCCAGGGCTCATCTAGTCCTTTGTGAACTCTCAAATTTGTAGGTACAATTACAGTATGGTCTCCAGACATGTGGAGACAGGTATGAAACAGCAAGGCTGTGCTGACAGTGGATCTCTTCTTCGTCAGCTCAGTGACTTGTCTACACTCCACCCTCATAGCACTTAAGTTTCAAAAAGATGTCATGGACCCTTGCAATGAATCATTCCCAGATGATAGAACTGTAAGTGCTAAATCCCCAAATGCCAAGGGTCTAGTGTGCTCTAATGGTTTCCCTTTACTGGGGAGTATATGGAGATTTAAAAACTGTTCTTTTTTCTGGGTAGTGAGGGCTCTTGAGCTAACTTCATGTGCTGTTGGATCAGCTCCTATTGTGTATTCTTAGTTAGAATGCTGTGGAACAAATGCAAAATGAAAAAAGTTCTCTGTGGATTTTTTTTTGTTGTTAATCCTCACTGGAGGATTTTTTTTTTTTAATTGCGTTTTAGAGAGAGTGGAAGGGAGGGGGAGAGAGAGGGAAACATTGATGTGAAACACATTGATTAATTGCCTCCATCCACCCTGACTAGGGCCAGGGTTCGAACCTGCAACCCAGGTACATGCCCTTGACCAGAAACTGAACCTGTGACCCTTTGGTGTGCAGGCCAACTCTAACCATTGAGCCACTGCATGGCTCGGTGGGTTTTTAACATGCATATTCAGTGATGGTTAAAAAAAATTTGGCCTTTTCGGAGTGATATTCTTTGCTGTCTTTGTAAATGTATGGTTTTTTTTTTTTTTTATGGCTTTTATAAATTATTAATACATTTCTTGGTAAATACGACAACTTGTCTGGCTCAAAGGAATTAAATAGAATGGTATAGTGAGTACAAATGGGAGTGTGTGTTAGGATTGAGACCTAACTCTAAGTTTCCAGGGCCGAAAGATTGCAGTGTGCACTGGAACAAACTCTTCTATCCCTGCTTCACACACGCAGGGACAAGTCCAACCAGAGCTTAAAAGGAGATGAGGGTGGCTGTTGGTAAGTGGGAATCTAATCCCAGAACAGTGTGGTAAGAGCCGTAACAGGAGGGGTACAGGGTGCTCTGAGGGCAGAGAGCAGGGGCATCTAACCTGGCCTTGCAGGATCTGGGAGTGGCAGGTTTCGATGGGAGATCAACTGTGTTCTTTACTCTGGTCGTGTCCTCATGGCTACTTTGGGCCTTCGACCAAAGTAGGCCCATTTCAGCGTAAGATGGGAGGCAAGCGTGGCCAGAGTGGAAAGAGAAATGTTAGATCATGGGGACTGGCAGACTAGGCACGACTCTGTGTCACGTGAGATACTGTGGCTTGAAGCACCTCCTTGGGAACACGGCAATATCTGAGACACTCTGTGGGTGGGTACTGACACCCGATTCCAGGCAGCAACCACATGGGAATGACTGTTGCTTGCTAAGGAGAGGTGCAGGCCACAGTGAGATGCCACTGTGCAGGGGCAGCTGCTATGAATAGGCTCTGGGCACTCCATTGGTAAATACTGCCTGCTTCTGGAAAGGAATCTTCCATGGGGTATGGACCGAGGGGTCTAGGCACTGGTCCTGCTCTTTTTTTTTTTTAATCCTCGTCTGAGGATATTTTTGCATGTATCTTCAGATCAAGCTGGAGGGAGAGAGGGAGGAAGAGAGAGAGAGAAACATCAATGTGAGAGAGAGACATCGAGTGGTTGCCACCCACACGACCCCAACTGGGGCCAGGGACAAACTGCAACTGAGGTACATGCCCTTAGCGGGAACCGACCCCGGGACTTTCCTGTCCATGGGCTGACGCTCTAATCTCTGAGCCAAACCAGCCAGGGCGGTCCTGCTGTTCTTTATTCTAGCCCTTCTTTTGAGCCCCTTTTGCAAGGGTTCCGGGTCCTTCGTAACCCTTCCTTGTCATGTGCCTGTCAAATTCCTGGGGTCCTGTTTCCTGGTCAACAACAGCTGTTGGTGGGGAGTTCCTGGGGTTTTCTGTTGATCTTTTCCCGTGGCCTCTGGCTCAGTGCCTCCTGGGATTCCAGTGGTCCTGCCATGTAGGAGGCATTTGGCCATAGTCTGTGGTCTAGAAATCATTTCAGCCAAAATGTGATGCTGCTTTTTGTTTTAAGACTTGAGGTTAGCACAGAATTATCAAAGCTTCGATTGGGCCCTGGCCAGTTTGGCTCAGCGGTTAGAGCGTCGGCCTGCGGTCCTGAGAGACCCGGGTTCGGTTCCCGCTAAGGGCACGTACTTCGTTTGCAGTTTGTCCCCGGCCCTGGTTGGTCATGCGGGTGGCAGCCACTTGATGTGTCCCTTCACGTCGATGTTTCTCTCTCTCTCTCTCCCTTCCTCTCTCTCCCTCCCACTCTATCTGTACAAAAAATGGAAAAATATCCTCTGGTGAGGATAAAAAAAAAAAGAAGCTTCGATTGGGGTATGCCCATTCTCACCTTAAGGATATTAAGATGCTTACCTCTTCTGTCTTTCAGCCCTTCACATATTTAAAGAAAGGTGAATACTACCCTGGCTTTGGTGCAGGAAAACAATCCACTCTTTTCAACTATAAAGCCCTAAATTGTTGATTACTCACAAGAGCCTTGTATGGCCTTTGACCATTCAGAAAACACCAAGCATTGTGCCAGGCTCTAGGGATAATGACTGCAGCACAGTTCCTGCTTCTTGAGGTATATGGTCCCATTCTCAGGTGAAAAACGTGCCCTTTCAGTGTGCTTCCCTTCTCTTCCCTCATCTCATCAGTGTATCTCCATCGTGGCTGTGCTGGACCCAAGCACCGCGTGGCCCCAAGGTCGACCGCCCCTGTACTGCCCTCCCCTTTGCCCTTGCCGTCTCGATAGTCTTCTCGGGCAGCCGTGCCAGCCACACCCCTAAGCCCCTTAGGGCTGCCACTACCTATGGCTGTGTCTCAGTGCCACCTGGGGTTCCAGGGTCTCCCTGTGGCCCTGTTAGTGGGAGGCACCTGGTGATGTGTGGACTTAAGATCGTTTTGTTTCAACTGAGCTAGGTTTTTTTTTTAATGAGAGGTTAGCATAGGATTATGACAGCTGCTGGGTAGTTACGCGTGTCACGCCATTCTCAGTGAGACTACGCACTCCCTTTGCTGTCTGAAGTCATGCCTCCTTGAATACTGTAATCTTGGGGGACTTGTGGTTCACCTTGGTTCTTGGAACCTCTTGACTCTGGCTTTCATCTGGTCCATACCAGCATGTGAACCCCTCCCCCTCAGTCCCTCCTCCTCACATTTTACACTGGCAGCCACTACAAGTCAGGCTAGTCAGGCAGGGACATCTATTTCCTGTGTCCCTGAGGTGGCAGATTGGAGGGTGTTCTGGAAACTTGAGAGCCTTCAGAGGGGAAAGACAGTGAAGTTGAACTTGGAGAAGAAGGAGACCTGGTGAGCTTGGCTACCCTACAGCCCAGGACTCCTAGCAGGTCAGGGTGATTCCATGGTGCCTGATCTTGGCCTTTGTGTCCTCTTCAGACCAATCCCACAAGTCTCCTGGCCTCGGGGCATCGTGTAGCCTGGAGATGACAGGCCTGAAGGGGCCTCAGAAATGTTCTCAAATTGGTGTGGGGTGAAGTTGGAAGTGGAATGTGGCAGCTTGGTGTCACCTGAAAGGTCGATTATGGTTCACCTTAAATTCTTACCTTTACCTGGCTTCCTGGAAGTCACCAGAAGGAAGAGTGAGTCATCTCTGCACCCACCCTTTATCACCCCAGCACGGCAAGTGGGTGGACAATGTCACACCTGAGTGTCCTCCATCAGCCTTCAGGCAGAATGGAGATGATGTAAATGAGTTAGTCCTACCTTTGCCCACTCTGAGTTGGTGGAGAGCCCAGGGGAGTAGGAGGAAGCAAAGGGCTTTACGTGGCGGACATACATGTATAGGAGGGTCTCCGTGGAGCATGCACTTGAAGAAGTCTTTTCACAGCCCTTCCCCCACATATGTTTACACCACTTAGAAACATCAGACAAGAAGCTTTGTGTTGAGAATCAGGACAGTTTATTGTTTGATCAACATGCTGAGTCTTCCACATTTTACACAGTTTTATGTAAAGTCAGTGTGGCCATTTATGCCTGCTGAGCCAGTAAGAGATGGAAATGCCACCCTCCGTGTTTCTCATGGCTAGTCACTTCCTGGGGGTGGCTGAGGGGAAGTGAGGGGAGAAGTTGATGCACACCGCATGATAGGCACTGGCCTTCCATGTTGGAGGCTTCCCGCCGGAAGGACCAACCATGCCCTGCCGGAGCTGGCGTTCAGGGAGCCCAAGGTTTCAGAACACCTAAATAGTCCATTTCAAACACAAATTGAAAGGGTGCCCTGATCTCTGGATGCCCACGACAATCAGAGTAGACCCTAGTGAGTGGCCCTTCTTTGCAGTGGAGGATTCTGAAATGTACGTGGATTCTTTCCTGGCTCGTTCAGATACACTGGCCACTCTCACACCCTAACCAGAGCAGAGCCCGTCTGAGGAGCGCCCGTGCACAGCAGCCCTTCATGTGCAGGTGCACGGTCACATCTTTACACACAGGTGGGTGATGGAAGAAGATGGAAACCTCTTGGTTCTGACCGCATCCGACTTGCTGGGTGACCGTAAGCAAGTCACCATTCTGTCTGGGCTTTCCTGCCTGTGAAACAGGAAGGGTTATGAGATCTCAGCCTCACACTGCTGCCAGGTACAATGCCTCACATTCTTGGGGAAGAGGTAGTTTGGAGACTAGTGAGCATACAACCCTGCTTGATTGATGCAGACAGACAGACTTCTGTTTAGCTGCCCATCACGTGGCTCAGACATGTCTCAGCCCTGGGCCACCTGTTCTCACGTCCTGACATCCTCACCTGCCTTCCGCTGTGTGAAGAAATGAGGCTGCTCTGCCTGCAGGACACCGAAGCCAGCGGTGCCATTGTTGTCAACCTGGTAGTTGATGGCAGGGGCTCCAGCACTGGCTGGCCACCAGGAGGATGGAGACTTTGCACTCCAAGCTGTGTCTGCACCCTCAGCTACCACCACTGCCACCCTCGTTTCTGTTGCCTGAGACACTTTAACAGACCTGGCTGTTGCTCCTCAGACCTGGGAACATTGCAGAATGTTTAAAAACACTGACAGGGCTTGGCCGGTGTGGCTCAGTGGTTGAGCGTTGACCCCATGCACCAAGAGGTCTCCGGTTCGATTCCCGGTCAGGGCACATGCCCAGGTTGTGGGCCAAATCCTTAGTGGGGGGCATGCAGGAGGCAGCCAATCAATGTTCTCTCGCATCATTGTTTCTATCTCTCCCTCTCCCTTCCTCTCTCTAAAATCAATAAAGAAAAAAAATTAAAACAAAAAAATGCTGACAGGAAGAGAGTGGAGACAGGGCAGGGAGGCCTCTGGCAAAAGAAGCTTGCCAACCGGGCTCACCTTGGACTGCTCAACTGTACTCCTAGCACTCAAGATGCTTCCATCAACACTTTAATTCCGGCGTGTGCACATTTAAAATACGCCATCTGCCTTCTCCATCTTAGGCTCAATTTTTCAGTGCTTGTGAAACCACGAGCTTTACCAACCGCTTTTCTTTGACGTCCCCAAAGAAAAAAAGAGGGTCTAAAGAAGATGGCCCCACTCATCCCCCCTCCTGGGCTAGTCTTTGAGGCGAGGGACTGAACTACTGGCTACGTTCAGATCATTTCCTAAAAGCATTCCCCCACTTTGCCTTGTCCTAGCCCCTCTGGGTTTGGCCAAGATGTAATAGTCACTGTGCCGAAGCGATTTCAGGACATCTTCAAGGGAACCTGATCATTTCATCACTGAACCTGCACTCTGCATCCAGATCCGACCTATAAGAAAGGACAGTGATGGCACCTCCTCAGAACGAGAGCCCAAGGACATAGCACTTCTGTGCGAGAGGCCCGGCTGGCTGGATGCGCCAGGAAACCAGGGGTGGAAATCGGGCCTGAGGAGAGGTGGACCAGGAAATGGGAGGGCACCACCAAGATGAGAGGACGAGATGGCGCAATTGCCCTCACCGTCAGAGGCCCACAGGGCTGGGGAGAGCCTGGACTCAAAGGGAGATCTGTGTGCGCTAGGAAAGGCGGGGCTCACGGAGGCCAGGTCAAGCCAAACGGTATCTACTATCTCACTGCTCCTGTAGGCGGTGATGGAATAGCGTCCCTGGTGCCTAGGATACGTGTGCACATGAGAAGGGAACTGAGTTTCTACCTTTTTTTAAATAGGAATGTTTTAAGAAAAGCTACTCTTTAGTACCAAGAAAATAAAACCCCACCGTACATTCATTCACTGAGACCCAGTGCAGATCCCTGCAAATGAGGCTGCCCCAGAGGCCACCGCAATGGCCTCACTGCCGTCCCAGCCACGTGCTGTCACAGGGACGCCTATAAATTCTCACGAGGTAAGTAAGTACTCTTCCAACAAGCACCACTTGGGGGTGTGCCGTGGTGGGGGGGTGCTGGCCCGCGTGGCATGCACACCCGTGCATATAAGTACATAGAAGGAGAAATGGTGCACATATTCCCGTGGGCTATTTTTGCCTGTCGTTTAACACATCTATGTAGTTATTTTATTGATGGCAAGACAATCACAAGTTTTTTGACAATATTAAGTACTTCTTATTTCAACATGTTGCAGTACTTTTGAAATTTTCAAAACTGTTATCACAATGCAAGTTCCGACTCGAGAGCAGGAAAAACAAGAATATACGTTGAGCACATGTACCTCTGTGAGAACGTGAGTGGAAGGTGTATACACAAGTCTATCTCTATATATAATTATGTACACACATATAAAACTAAACACATGACACTGGAATTACGTTCGTACGTTGGTCTTTGCCTCTAGGAAGAGGAGCTCAGCGGGAATTCTGCTTCCTCTTTTCTTCACCTGAAGATACATTTCTCCGTAAAGATCAGCTCTGACACAGTCTCCTTAGCTGGAAGTGTGTCCCGCCCACCCCACCGGACAAGAGTGCTGCCGGGTTTCGCTGCACTCACTCGCTGCCATTTTAGATTAGTTTCTGAGAAGTTCCAGAATTCACTGCAATAACCTGTCTGAGCACTGCTTTGTGGAGGAATTCACCTCCCGTCACCCCCCAGATGGTCATTTGGCTCATCTGTGACGTGCCCAACAGCAGCCTGGAGGAAGAGTCAATGCCAGCTTAGAGGGCGGGGTTAATTGTTTTATGGCCCGAGTTGCTGTCCATGGCCTGGCTTGGTGCAGGCTCAGGGTTGGTGAGTCTGGGTCTACTTGGAATACAGGCCAAAGTGGGTTACATCACTTAGCGAGAAGAGAGCGTTCTCTTCAGAGATGTTAGGTCCTCAGACTTAGCCCTTCTCAGAAATGAGTCAAAAATGGCAAAGATGGTGGAGACCCCACCTCAGCCCTACTCTCAGGCAACCAGCGTGTGGGTACAACACCCACAATGGTATGTGCCCAAAGATTTCCACTGCACCGTGCTGGTGGGGCAAACACAGCCAGAGTCAGCTTTTCCAGAACAGCACTCACAATATTAGCAACCCGAGGACATGCATCTTCAAGGTGGTGGTTCTGCGGACAACCCTCTCTGAGGGCACACAAGGCATCTCTCTTAGCTCTTCCCCTGGATTGAATCCAGATATGTGTGCTGAATGCTGGGCCGGTTGGTTAAAACGTTTTCAGAAGTACACATGGTTCCCCAAGTCTGTGAACCAACCACCCATCGACACTGCCCACAGTTGCCAACACCACCCCGTCCTTCCTTCCAATGACCTCTCCCTCTGGGCAGACCACAGAGAACACAAGGTTGCCCGTGGCAAGTGCCCTGCACCGCCTTCAAGCTGTTCAGGTAGGGAAGGCAGAGGCAGAAGTAATTGCAGTGGGGCCTGCTGCTGGGCTCCCTGCAGTCCACAAGACCTGGTCAGCTCGGGGCCATACCTGATGTCCCCCCCTGGCCACAGAAGAAGGACAGAGGCAGGACTGCCTTCTCAGAGGCTGCTCTGTTCAATCAGTGTTTGGTTTAACCAGGGTGGACCTGGTTGGTGGGGCCTGGTTGGTCAGGGCCAGATGGTCCGGGATTGGAGCCTAATTAAATGGCCCAGTTAATGTTTTGGTTCATCGGGCTGCAGGGTGGGAGGAGGGCAGAGGTCATGAATAGTTCAAAGAGGACAGGAAGGAGGAGGTGTGTGGAAAAGGTTCTCTGTAAGTTTACAAATATACAAAAACAAAAAAAGCACATCTTTCAAATAAAAATGACTACATTTTTATCTGGCAAAAAGTTGTATACACATGATTTAAATTTTTTTTTTAAATTTCAACAGTTTTTGGCAATCTTAATAAAGTACAATATATTACAACCAAACCAAAAAATAGTTGTTTAAGTAACAGCTGTTAAGAGTGACGTGATCCCTGATGCCCAGCCTCCCTCCCCACCCCACCCGACTCCTAGAGACAGAGAGAAAAGAAAAATCCTCCCATCTTGATAAGCTCATTCCCCACCCCCCTTTAGGAAGCTAACCAATAGGAAGCAACACAACAAGCGAGTAGTGTCGGAGGAAGCCGTCAGGTCAGGCTGCATTAGCAGGAGCAGCCGCCTTCACTGGCTGGGGGCTCCTGGGGTTTGTCCAGCTTAATGTCGATCACTGCAGGGCGCTGGGCTAAGGAAGACGACTCTCACCGAGAAGTTGCCACCCTGTCTCACGCCCCTCCCTGTGCACCCCTACGCAGCCCTTGGCAGCCCTTCTGTCCCTCCACAAACACCCAGACTGCTTGGGCTGGGGAGGGAGGATGCAGTTCCCTCCCCTCCCAGCCCAGGCCTCAGCCCCACCCCAAAGAGCCCTGGAGGTGGAGAGCCTGAAGGCCAGGCAAGGATTCCACAGCTCAAAGCACAGGGCTACGTGGGCCTTGCCCTAGTTTGCTGCGGCAACATGGATCTCTCAAGCTCTAGTCATTTCGTTTCACTTAGACTCTGAGGATGCTACTGTGAGAAGCCACATCCCTGGGGAAGGGCCTCAGCCCAGCTCCCTCTCCAGCCTTTCCATTGGTGCCCAGGGGACTGTAGGCCGGAGAAGCACCAATCAGAATGTCCATTGGAATGGGTTCAGACTGCACAGGCAAGCTGTTCCCTCTGCCCTCAACAGGCTGAAACCTTAATGCCAGGCCTGATCCCAGCTGAGGACCAGGCCCTCCACACCACACAGAATAACTTCCTGGGCCAGGCTTGGGCCCTTGTGGGACTGCACTGGGGTCAGGGAGAGGGGGGGGTGGTATAAGGCCTGCTATGGGAGCTGTTGCTGGCATCCTAGGGATGTTTCTGTGGCCCCTATTTAAGGGCTATCGGAGAGATTCTTCTGACTTTAAGCACAGTTGGCCCTACCATGAATTCAACCAATCATGGATCAAAAACGTTTGGAAAAAAAAATGTTATGTTGTTACTGATGTGTGTAGTTAAGCCTACAACAGTGCCATCTGTACTGAACATATACATTATTTTTGTCATTGTTCCCTAAACAATACAGTTAACAACTATTTATACATTTACATTGTATTAGGTTTTATAAGTAATCTAGAGATTATTTAAAGTATATGGGAGGATGGATGTACATAGGTATATGCAAATACTATACCATTTTATTGAAGGGACTTGAGCATTGAGGGGTTTGGTATCCATAGGGGTGTGGGGGGTGGGGGGTGGTCCTAGAACCAATCCCCTGTAGATACAGAGGAACAACTGTACTATAGAAGAACCACGCTTTGCCTGGCTGGTGTGGCTCAGTGGTTGAGCATCAACCCAGGCACCAAGAGGTCACTGATTCCCCATGAGGGCACATGCCCAGGTTGTGGGCCAAATCCCCTGTGGGGGGCATGCAGGAGATGGCCAATTGATGCTCTCTCTCATTGATGTTTCTATCTCTTTCTCCTTCTCCCTTCCTTTCTCTCTAAAATCAATAAAAAAAAATTTTTTTTTAAATCATGCTTCTCCTAAAAATCACATTTTCCCTCCTTGCCACTTTTTGGCCATTCATCCATGGTATATGTTTTGAGTATGATGTTATCTCTTCCTTTTCCTTGTTTTCTTACCTTTATTTTCCCTATGCTCTGATTTTCTTATGTGTGTGTGTATACAAATAACATTTTTTTATAATTTTTTTTTGTTTATTGATTTTAGAGAGAGAGAGGAAGGGAGAGGGAGAGAGAGATGGAAACATCGATGAGAGAGAACATTGACTGGCTGCCTCCTGCATGCTTCCCCCGGGGATTTTGGCCCACAACCTGGGCATGTGCCCCAACTGGGAATTGAACCAGTGACCTCTTGGTGCATGGGTCGATGCTCAACCACTGAGCCACATCAGCGGGGCAAATAACTTTTTTTTTAATCCTCATCCGAGGATATTTTTCCATTGATTTTTAGAGAGTGGGAGGGAAGAAGAGAGAGAGAAACATCAATGTGAGAGAGACATCGATTGGTTACCTTCCTCACGACCCTGATGGGGACCAGGGATTGAACCTGCAACCGAGGTGCGTACCCTTGACCAGGAATCAAACCCAAGACTCTGCGGTCCGCAGGCCGATGCTCTAACCACTGAGCAAAACCAGTCAGGGCTACCATTGTATGTATGTGTGTGTGTATATATATATATATTTTTTTTTATCCTCACCTGAGGACATTTTTCTATTTTTTGTTCAGGTAGAGTGGGAGGGGGAGAGAGGAAGAGAGAGAGAAACATCGATGTGAAAGGGACACATCGAGTGGCTGCCACCCGCACGACCAACCAGGGCTGGGGACAAACTGCAACCGAGGTACATGCCCTTAGCGGGAACCGAACCCGGGTCTCTCAGGACCGCAGGCCGATGCTCTAACCACTGAGCAAAACCATCCAGGGCTACCATTATATTTTTATGTAGGTTTTTGTGTGTATCTACGTGTGCATATATATTATATACATAAACAAACATTTTTCATAACATGGCATAAACAACTGCCTTCTAATTGGGCAAACTAGACTACCTCTCTGAACCCCAATTTCAGCTTCTGGGTGTTGCCTGCGGTTTGGGATGGACCATGTGAGTGGCGTGCTGACCCCGCCCCATAAGTAGTGGGAGCTCCGGCCTGGGGCCCAGGAAGCAGGCAGGACGTGGGAGGAGGCATCTGCTGGGGGGCTGTCTCGTGCCGAGTAGGCTGAGAAAGAAACCGTCCCTGCAGTGGAGAGTCTGCTTGTACCCACGAAACACAGATCGATGTTCACTGTAAATAAGGGTAGCATCGCTATTTCATTCCCCACCCATACTATCACTCCTTACACAGCCCTCTGGCATCCCCACCCTGTTTGAGAAGTAAAAGTTTAGGAGGTTCGAGCTGGACGGGTCTGGAAGACCCTGGAGTCCAGCCTCCTCCCTACACGGAGTCCCCAACACCGTACCGGTTAGCCGGGAAGGCCAGTGTCCGTCCACTGCTCTGAAGCACTACGCGAATGCCTGGATGGGTACGTGGCTTCTCCAACACATCTCTCACTCACTCATCAGAGAAAAAGGATACTCCCTTCTTTGCTTTTCTCCTGGACATTCTCCATTCCAGGTAGAGCCGACGCCACACGTCGGAAGAGCTGCAAAGAGGGGGAGATGCCGCGTGAGCCCCCCGCACCCGTCTCCCCCTCCTGCCTCCACTCACCCTGACCTTGGGCTTTACTATCCTGTCTGTCCCACTGTGTCCTGGAGGGCAGGGACTGCACTGACCTCTCTCCCCCACCCCAGTGCCTGTGTTGGGCCTTGGCAGGCTTCGCGCCCAGCAGGCTGGCCGGGGTGTCACAAGGAGCTGAGCATGCATCATGTGACTGAAAGGGACCCACCCCGGTGCAGGCAATGATCTAGACCTGGGAGACAACCCTTAGGAGGGATTCTGTCCCACTGCCCATGTAGGGACCATGTATGGGGGACCAACTTTGAGACGAATGACTCTCTCTCTCCTCAGGGAGTCCTACAAGTTCACGGACACTGAGGCAGCTGGGTGCTGGGGGCCAGGGCCACACAGTCACAGCAGAGAGAGACTTCTCTGAGAGAACCACACAGGCGTGTGAGCGTGATATTGCGGGGTGTTTTGGATCTGGGTGTGGGGCGTCTGTGTGTGTGTGAATGTGTGTGTGGTGTGTATGTGCACATGTGGGGTTTCTGTGTGTGTGTGTAATGTGCGTGGGGAGAAATGTGTGTGTGGGGGGTGTGCTGGGGCAGGGTGGGCGGGATGTCAGGTGCTGGCAGACAGGGAACCTCGGAGCTGACAGAGCTCAGAGCAGAGTACAAGGCGCCAGAGACTGAACGCTGCCCCTCGCCATGAACACCTGCTGCAGGAGCCCGGTGGCTCTGGGCTCATAACTTCGCGTGAGATCTCTGAGGACAGGGTGAGTCTTCGTCGTGGTTCACCCAGAGCCCAGCCTTATTCAGCAGCCAGGCTCGGTGAGGGCCCTATGGGAGCGCCCAGGGCCAGAGGCAATGAGGGCCCCAATGGCAGTCACTGGTCTGCCTGGCAGGGGGTGGGGCCCTGTGGGAGGGCTGCGGACAGGGCTGGGCATGCAGAGCCCAGCGGGGGTGCAGAGGGCGGGGCCACTCCTCCTGGGCTCTCCATGGCCGGTCCCACGCAGGCCTGCTCTGCCTGTCTGAATGTCAAAATGGTCACAGCTCTGCCAGTGGCCAAACTGACAGAAGGCAGCTCTTGGGGGTCCCATGTGGGTCTCTGAGAGAAGATATGATCACGTTTAGGGTCCAGGTGTCTGAACTGCATGGAGATTCCTTTGAACCACAAGGTTTCAACTGACCACAGTGAACTCCTGCTCAGACCATTATGTGGCTTCCAGAGCATTCTGGGAGGGGGGCATCGGCATCTCCCTGACCCCTGACCCCTGACCCCTGACCCCTGACCTTGACCATTGGCACAGAGGCCACCTGCCCCCTGCTTCCCTCCTCATGACTTTCCATGAGGGTGCGAAGCCCAGCAGCCCAGCGTCTCCTGTGCCCCTGGGGACAGGCAGCTCCCTCCTCCAGGAGATGCCATGGCAGCCCCAGCCTTACACCCAACAAGACCAGAAGGGGATGGGAGTGAATGGAGCCATGTTGCCGTCACTCCAATTGGGGGGACGGTCCTGGAGCTTGGGGCTCCCACTCTGTCTCTTCCCTCTCCTCTGCCACCTTCCACACAGCCACTGGCACTGTCCACGTGGTGTGAATCTTCACCGCATCCAGGCCAAGTGCTCCATGGCCAGCTTGTCTAGTGTTCCCGGGCAGCTGTGGGGGCGGCAGGCAGAAGTGGCACCGAGCCAAGCCATGCTCCTCACTCAGTGTCCCCTCCCCAGGCCACAGGCACCCCTCCTGCCACACCTTTACTCATAGGGTCCCCCTTGCCTGGGACACCTTCCCTCCCCACCACCTCTCCAAGTCCTCTCCTTCCTGACGGCAGGGGCTCCTAACCTTGTGTGAACCACAGACCCCTCCCACCGTCTGGTGACACCTACATGCTCCTTCGAAGTGTGTGGCCTCAGCTACACAGGAGCATGAAGGAAACCATTTGGGACTGAGACACACTTCTAAAATCTTCCAAGGTACAAACTGGTGACAACGCATGAACCTACTCAACAGCAAGAGCTGGCGTGTGTCTAATAACCACCGTGATACTGAAGTAGTGGTGGGTGTCAAGTTCAAGGTACTGCAACACTGTGAGGTGACAAGAACCCAGCTGTGATGTCTATGTGATGAAGACTCAGGGCTGCTGCTCTGACGGTCTCGCTGCCTACGTTCAGCGCTGAAGGCACCACCACCACAGGGCAGTCAGATGTGAGTGCCGATAAAGCTGCAGCTTCTCCAGCCCAAGTCTGCAGACCTGCTGACTTGCATCCACGGACTCCTTGGGGTCTGTGGATCCCCTACGGCTCCTCTGATGATTCTGCTTCACCCAGCCTGTCCCCTCCTGGGAGCTCCGGGGCACCAAAGGTGGGCTCCTTTCTCCGAGCCTGCCTGGCCCTCCAACACCAAAGTTCTCGCCAAGCACAAGGCATGGTCCCCTGCGCCCCCATCCGCAGTCAGGTAAGATGCTAGGGAAACGATGCTTCTTTCAGCCACCTGGAAGTTGGCGACTGGACACTCACAACATGCTACAGGGACCATGGAGCTGGCTGCTGTATGGTGCCTAATGGTGACATTCTCCAGACACCCCCTGAGGGTCAGTGCCCCTTCCTTCTTGTATGTGTTACCACCTCTGGAGGTAAGCTTGTTCCCCTTCAGGTGGGGTGCTCTGGTTGGCTGCCCCAACCCAGTCACTGGCCCACTGGGGAGAGGTAGGGCAGCCTGAGGCTGACAATGCCGGAAGCCACACGGGGGCGCCATGGCCCAGCTGGGCCAGGGATCAGCACCGGGCACATCCTACCTGCTTCACGTTGTAGCCCGTCTTTGCGCTGGTCTCGATGAACATGACGCTCAGCTCTTTGGCGCGCTGCTCCCCCTCCTCGATGGTTATCTGCCTGCACAGGAGGGGAGGGGGACATCAGTTCAGGAGAGAAGCCAGCCTGAGAGAAGAGGGGCCCGCCCGGCAGGGCCGCGGGAGCCCACGGGGATGAAGGGCACAGCAGAACACACCAGCCCTTTCTCTACTCCTGTAGAATCTTCCCGTCGGTGGGTGGGGCTGTCCCATACCTGCCTTTCTCAATAGTCACCACTGCCAGAGACTACATTTGTAAAGCGCTTCAAGCCACATACGGCCTCTCTGGGTGGTGTCATCAGTCCCATTTCCCAAATGAGAACCCTGAGGTTAAAAGTGACTGCCCCAAGGTCACCTACTTAGCAAAGGAGCTAGGCTTTGGGTCCCATTTTCTTCACTTCCAGAACAGGATGCTAATAAAGTATGCTGTAATTCAGATGGTCAGAGTATATTTCAGGAAGCCCACAGTCCATGACCTGTCGCTTTATCTAACCAAGTTGGGTCCCCTGAAATAAGTGGACAAATGTATTAAGTGGCCTCTAAGTCAGCCCTGCACCCTGAAGCACCCTCTTCATACGAAGTGTCACATCTAGACACAGTGCCAGACCAGAAATTCTGAGGTTACCATGGGAGACCAGGACCTTCACAGTCACACCCACACTGGCGTGGGCCTTTCACAGGGGCAGAGACACAAAGCACAGGCAGAAGTCGGCGGGAGCCCGAGGGACCGCTGTGTCTGCAGCTGTGTTGTTGGTTGTGGCCAGTTCCCAGACCACACACTGCTGGGCGGGGCCAGGTGCCCGGGGCTCCCTGCAGACGATGCAGAGGAGCACCCCTGCCTTGCCCCTGCCAGCAGTACAGGTGGGGCCTCAGAGATGACATGGGCAGGGGTTTACCAGGGGCTTTCAAAGCCTCCAGCAACCTGACGGGGCCTTTCCCAGATGCCTGGGGCAGGACAGACAGGGTGCTTGCTACCCATGCATCCCAGAACTCCCTGTCCAGGAGGAGGCGCTGAGGTGTGGAGAGTGAGCTCAACCTGCATTTACCTCTTGTCAGCCAGGTCCGTCTTGTTGCCCACCAGCATGATGATGACATCACTGCCCCTCTCCGTCCTGACATCATCGATCCACTTAGAGGTCTGCTGGAAGGAGTTGAGGTCTGGAGGTGGAAAGTGGGGATAGAACAGGGCGTGAGATCCCGCTGCCCGGGGAGAGGGAAAAGGTGGAAGGGAGCAGGAGGGACAGGCAGCATGTACCCCAGACACCCGGGAGGGGCTGGGGCACAGGCCACACAGGCCAGGGGTCCAGGCCCACGTGTGTTTGTGGAGCTGTGCCCGAGGGTCCCAGAGAGGGCTTTGCATTGCTGAGCCACCCCTGGGGGAGAGAAGTCACCCAGTCTGGAAGGTCACAGTGTCATGATTTGCTATGTGGACTAGTGGTTCCAGGGGCCCATCTGAAGGTCACACCTGTCTCTGAAGGCTCAGAGCAGAGTGAAAAATGGGTGCAATGGACTTGGCTGTGCTTGGAAACCGTGGAGGGGCTTGGGGACACTGCAGCTTCTAGGAGAGGAGGGCCCTACAGAGTGGACTGGACTCTCACGGGGGGGCTCGGGAAGGCCACGGGGGATTCCGAAAAGAACCCTCAGGTCTCTAAGTAAGAGGAGGGGGAAGGAAGCCCCAGGAGCAGAAGATGCCAGGAGAGGCAAGGCCGTTTCAGGGCAGCTGTCCTCAGTCAGAGATGTGACAGACCTCGAAGAGGAGCAGTCATAGGGCGATGCCCCCACTCAGCAGCCGGCACACCCAAGGGGAGGGGAAGCAGCCTGTTTCCCACAGCCTGGTCCCTCCCCTGCTCCATGTCAGGCTGCACGAGCCCAGCTCCACTGCACTCAGATGAGCAGGGAGCCTATGGTCAGGGGGCGGGGGGTGGGCGGGCGGCAGGGACAGCAGGCTGGGGCAGTGCCCTGGGTGTCTTCCCACCTTAGGCATGGCCGCAGCCCAAGGGCTTCCCAGGTGGGCTCTATCACACCCGCCTGGGCGGTGGGGCCCTGCACCAGGCCCCACCCCGACCCCCAGCCCCACGAGCCTCCCTCAGGGCTGTGCAGGCACCCTCAAGGACAGCTGCTGGGCTAGGAGAGCCACCGTGTGGGAGAAGTGAAGCCACCCGCAGCTCTCCAGACCTGCTCAGCCTCCCCTCGAGGGGCCTGCGGAGCTGGGATGCAGCTGACAAAGCCACGGCTGCTGGGTCAAGCTGGCCCAGGGACCAGCGTCTTCTCCCACCTCGACAGGTACACAGAGAAGATGCTCTGTAGGGGTCTTTCCTGCAGCCAGGGCCAGTGAGGGAGCCGAGGGCTGGAAGCAGGGCCAGCCTTGCGGGCATCTCTGCTCACCTCCGCACACAGGCCCCTGTTCTGAGCAGGCCAACCTGTACACCCATGACTGTCGCAGGAGGGTGGGGGAAGGTGGAAAACACGCCGGTGTTCAGGTGTTCAAAGGCAACTGATCCTCGACCTGTGAGCACCTGCCTTCCTGCATTCAGAGGGTAGGAGTGCGTGCGCACACACTCACACACACACTCACACATACACACACACACTCACACACACACACACACTCACACACACACTCACACTCACACACACACACACACACACACACACTGCAGTCTGGCCCAGGCTCCACTTGGGCCCTGGAGCCCTTGTGAGCTACTCTCCCCTGGCACCCAGGCCCCACACTCACTTGTGATGTCGTACACCACTACGGCCACCGTGGAGTCCCGGATGTAGCTGGGGATCAGGCTGCGGAACCGCTCCTGGCCCGCTGTGTCCCAGAGCTGCAGTCGCACCTGTCGCAGGGAGGGCAGGGGATCAGCAGGGGCAGCGAGGCCCTCAGGGTGAGGGTGGGGGCTGCAGTGAGGTCCTGGTTCTGTGATGTTGGCGCTGCCAGCACTAGGGCAGGCGCGGGCTCTCAGTGGTGCCCAGCTAAGGGTCCAGGTGATAAGCCCAAAGGAGCCCTCCCCATCCTCCCAGCTCTGAGGCCAGGCACTCACCGTACGATCCTCCAAGTACATGGTTTTGGACAAGAAGTCAATTCCGATGGTTGCCTATTAGAGAAAAGCACAGAAAGATCAAAACTGAAACATCTCAGGCAACGGGGCAAAAGCTCAGTGATCCAGGCAGAAAAATGGGGCCACCCATGCCAAGTCCAGGATGGGTCCTGCTCTGTTGCCCCCTGGTCCCACCCTCTCAACAGTGAACCTTCTTGTCACTCTCACAGGAAGTGAGTTTGAGCTAAGTAAGCACGAGGACAGGGTTTCTAGGGAGTGATACAGAAGGGAGGGGGAGGAGAAAGCTGGGTGAGAAGGCTTCCCCAGGAACAAGACCCGAAGGGCCAGCTTTGGAAAAATGAAGTCATTTCAGATGACTAAGGGGAAAACCAGAGACCTACCTTAAAGTTTAAATATGGTAAGTAACCCTTCCAACAGAAGTCAGCTGCCCAGTCCTGGCCAGTTTGGCTCAGCAGTTAGAGTGCTGGCCCGCGGACCAGAGAGTCTGCTAAGGGCACATGCCTCGGCTGCAGTTTGTCCTTGGCCCTGGCTGGCGTTATGTGGGTGGCAACTAGTCAGTGTGTCTCTCTCACATCGGTGTTTTTCTCTCTCTCTTCCCCCCTCTCTCCCTCCCACTCTGCCTGAAGATAAAATGCAGAAATGTCCTCAGGTGAGGATTTGAAAAAGAAAAGTCAGTTGCCCATATTTATTTTATTTTATTTTATTTATTTATTTATTGTTAATCCTCACCGAAGGACACTTTTTCCCCCATTTATCATCAGATAGAGTGGGAGGGAGGGAGAGAGAGAGAAAGAAACATCGATGTGAGAGAGATACATTGACTGGTTGCCTCCTGCACAACCCGACCAGGGCCAGGAATAAACTGCAACCGACGTACGTGTCCTTGACTGGAATCGAACCCACAACTCATGGGTCCACGGCCCGATGCTCCAAACTGGCCAGGGCAGCTGCCCATATTTTAATTGCCTTTTAAAATAAAACTCAACATCCATCAGAGGAAGGTAAGAGAATCCAAGAAACTCTACAACTTATTATTCACAATATCCCCTACACAATAAAAAAAAAAAAAGCATTAGACAAGTGAAGAAGCAGGAAATTCAAGCTATAATCAAAAGAACAACTTAACAGAAACAGAACCCAGATGACCCAGGTATTGGATTAGCAGACAGGCCTTTACAATAACTGATATAAATGTTAAAATATAAAGGAAAAGATGGACATGGCGGGTGAATTTCAAGAGATATAAGAAAATGTTACAAGAAAAAATGAAAATCCTAACACTAAAAAATACAATACCTAAAATAAAAATACACGGAATTTAAATAATGGCAACTAGGACACCGTCGAGGAAAGGTCAGTGAACTTGACGAAATTTGACAAAAGGCCAAAAGAAATGTTCAAACTGACGCACAGAAAGAAAAAAGATGCAATAAAAGTGAACACAGGATCAAGCCACAGGAACAAGGACGATATCAAGCACTCTGATATACATGCAATTAGATTCTCATAAAAAGAATAGAAACAAAATCAACAAAAATTTTTTTGAAAAAATAACGATAAAAATGTGTCCCAATTTGAGTAGACACACCAACCCACAATTCCGAGAAGCTTAGTGAACCTAAAACAGGATAAATACAAAGCACACCACACCCAAGCATGTCATAGTCAAATTGTTAAAAACCAAAGAGAAGGAGAAAGCCTTACCAGCAGCAGGAAATAAAACACACATTAAACACAAGGAAACAATGACAAGAACGATCATTGATTTCTCATCAGAACAATGTGGGACAGAAGACAGTGGAACAAATCTTTAAAGTTCCAAAAGAAACAACCACCATCAGGTCAACCTAGAATTCTATAGCCAGTGAAAACTTCCTTTAACAATGAGGGCAAAACAAAAACATTTTCAGATAAGGGGAAGCTGTGATCATTTGTAACCAGTGGGCCCTCATTATAGGACATGCTTTAGACTGAAGGGGAATTTTACAGATGGAAATTTGAATCTTTTAAGAAGGAATATAAGAGTACCTGAAATCTAAATATAAAAGTATGTCTTGTCCTTGTTTACCTCCTGCTTCCATCCATATCAGCACTAGTTAATAACATTCTCCCCTTTGTTTTACCCCCGTTACATCCTCAGCATAAATACTCTCAGAAGATGACATAAAACTCTACAATAGGAGGTATAAACACTTCAATTCCTTGGTTTTACACTCTAATATAGCAACAATGATAACCACTGCAGCAATGACTAAAGCATCTGAGTACTTATCATTTGCCAGCTATTGTGCTAACTGCTTTACGTGCATTATTTAATCCTGATAACCTATGTCAGGGATTATGTTCATTGGTATTTGTATGTCACTGGTAAGAAACAGAGTATAAGAGGTGTTAAGTTACTTTCCTAGTATCAAGTGCTGGAAGTGGCAGAGCCAGATTTAAAGGGTATTTGCAAAGTTGTTTACATGTGTCCAGCCTTATCCCCGCATCCCTCCGGGCTCTGAGTATTTCCTCATTCTCCTGTGCAAAGCAAGCCTCTCCTCGGGGTCCTCTTGGTCCTGGTTCTCTTTCCCTGGCTGATGCTGTCTCAGCTGTCTCCTTGTCTTCTGTATCTTCCACCTCTCATCCTCTACTGATTCTTTCCTTTCGTCCAAGAAACATTCTCAAAATTCTCACATCCTTAAAAAAAATCCTCCCTGTCACTAAGTAGCTCTCTAGCTATCTGCTGATCTCTCACCTCTCTTCAAATGATATGCTTCTTGGAAAAGGACCCTAAATCCATAGTCTCCACTTCCTCCCCTCCCACGCATTGCTTAAGTTGAGTGGTCTGGTTTATACCATCTCTGCCCATTGAAGCTACTCTTGCTATAGTTGCCAGTAGGTATTTCATCTCCAAATTGTAAGGACACTATAGGCCAGACTCTACTTGATGTACTTGACCCTGCTGACCACTCCTCTTCCTTGACATTCTTTTTTCTTCCTTTGATTTTCAGGACACTACTTGTTTCTGGCTTCCTTGCCTCTTTAACTGCTGTTCCTTATTGGTCCCTTGTAGGATGCCCTTTCTTTCTCTGCCCCTAAAATGTTGGTGTTCCCTACTGTTTTGTGACAGGGGACCACATTTACTCTCACACCTTCAAAGAGGAGGTGGTGATGGCTTCCCAATCTACACCCAGGCCTACCTCAGTCCTGAGCTCTGGTTCCAGGTATCCAACTCCTTACTCGACACTTCCCTAAACACATACACCCCACACAGAGCCCAGTATGTCCCTCCAAACTTGCTGCTTCTACGTCTTCTATATCAATGAATGGCTCCAGCACCCTAGGTGCCCAAGTCCCTGGAAACCCTCCCAAGTCCCTCCTCTTCACTTGCTCTCTCGTCCACTCCCTCACATCGAATGAATCACTGAGCTGATGACTTTTCACCTGCCCACCTCTCCCCACCCCCAGCACCACTGCCCCATTCAGACCTCCAACCTCTCTTCCCTGGATAACCTAAACAGCCTCCTGACTGCCCTCTCTGCCCTCAGGCTCTCCTCTTAGAGTTAATCTTTCATGTCTGACCCCAGCGCTCCCTCCTGCCCCTAGGAAACAGTCCAAACACTCCAGCTCGGCCTCCAGAGCTGTTCAGGGCCTGCCCCTCGCTTCCTAGTGTCCCACATCCCCCTTGTCGAGCTTGTAGTTTATACATGAACAGTAATGCTCTGGTCAGGAATCCACCCACATGTCACTTCATGTATCTGTGCCTCTTCCAATGCTGTTCCCTCCCTGGATGCTCTTTCATATGCTTAATGCCCATTCAGAGTCCAAGATTCAGCTCCTCTGCAAGTAATTTTCTGAGCTCTCAGGTTCGCTTCAGGGCCCCTCTTTTTTTTTTTTTTAATGGTTTCTCTACTAAATTGTTAAGATCTGATACTGGCCAGTCTCTCCCACTGGCCAGTGATTTTCAGTATGTAGTGCATGGACCACTTGCTTCAGAATCACATCAGGAACTTATAAAAAAAATGCAAATTCCTGAGCCCCATCCAGACAGACAGAATCACAATCTCTCGGTGTCAGTCTGGGAATCAGAATTGTAGACAAACCCATAGAGAACTCATGTGTTCAGTCAAGTTTCCAACAGCTGCCTAGACATTGAGAAGGCCTTGGCATCCGGGAGGAAGGGCAGACTCCCTGCCCAGGGGGAGAGACAGAGGGAGATGCCCATGCATGCAGACGATGTTATTCATAGATGAAGAAACCAACGCTCACACAGGACCAAAGTCACACAGGTAGTGGTGGCAAAGGCAGGATTTGAACCCAGGTCTCCCTGATGGCAAAGCCCCTGCTCTTGACTCTTCAGCCTCCTCAAATCCTTTCATTTCTGAAGCTGTCACTGAGTTTGCATGGGGGTTACATCTTGTCTGGCTCCCTTGCGTCAGAATCTTAGGTCATTAGCCATAATAGCTCAACAGAGTCCACTTAACAGAGTTCATTTGCATTTTAACAACAACAACAAAAGAAATCAGCTCTCTATGGACAGAACAGAAACAAGAACTTTTATGACAGCCTTGGCTGGGCCTTGGTTACCAGAAAATGTCTAGCTCCGTGGCATCATCTATTTTTCCAGACACAAGGCACAAACAGTTGGCTCCACGCTGCTGCCAGCGGAAGCCACTTCTCCCAGACAGGCCAGGTCTGCAGGGAGAAGGTGGTCACGGTTTTCCCTGGGCAGCTCCTTTCCAGCAAACTGTAATACCCATTAGACACAGAACAGAACAAGCCCAGGTCCCTGCCCATAAGGAGATGTTCTCTCCCCTGGAATGCTCTTCCTAGTGGTTGATACCATTCAGAGTTCAAGGATTCCGCCTAGTATAGTACAGGCTCTGAGAGGAGCAGGGCCTTGCTTCTGCTTAGTCTCTTGAGGAAAGACTGGGCACCTGTGCAAATCCTTGGGTGAATAGTAACTTTCCAGCAAGTGAGGGTGGGGGAGTAGAGGAAGATGCGAAGCATGGGGAATGAATCCCAGATAGGGGGATTTGGGTAATGGCAGAATT